GGAACCAGATATGGCAGGGATGTTGGAATTTAAATAACAATGATTACTATGCTGGATAAAGTAGACAACATGCAAGAACAGATGGGCAAGCAGTGTATGCAGAAAGGTAGAAGTCCTAAGATGGAACCAAAAAGAAATCCTAGAGATCAAATACACTGTAACAGAAATGAAAAATGCCTCTGATGAACTTATTTAGTCGGTAAGAATGGCTGAGGAAAGAAAATCTGAGCTAGAGAATATATAAATAGATCCTCAAAAACAAAAAGCAGAAAGAATAAAGGCTGAAAGAAAGCAATAGAATATCCAAGGGCTGTGAGAAAACCACAAAAAGTATAAAATACATGTAATGGAAATACCAGGAGGAGAGGGGAAAAGAGAAAGAAAACTAAAAAATATTTGAGGCAATAATGACCGAGAATTTTCCCCAAATTAATGTCAGACACCAAACCACAGATCCAAGAAACACAGAACACCAAGTCAGATAAATGCCAACTATTTTGGAAAACTTTTTGAAACTATTTACAAAAGCTGAATATGTTCATACCCCATGACCCAGCACATTCACTTTCACTCCAAAGAATTGACTAAACAAAGCAACACATATGCAAACAAAAGATACGCAAGAGAATTCTTACAGCAGCATTATTTGCAATAGCCCAAAATGAAAAACAATCTGAAATTTCCATCAACACAATGGATACACAAATTGAGGTGTAGTCGTAGGAGGCAATCCTAGCAAAGAAAATGAGTGAACTACAAGCTACACAAAGCAACATTTGTGAATCTCAGGAACATAATACACACACAATAAGTCAGGCACATGAGGATAAACACAGGGTATGTTCTCTTTGTGATCAATGAACAAGACAAACACAATTTGTGCGCTTTTCAGAATGCTAGACGCCAATGAATTTTTTTCAGTGTAAATCTGAGAAATGCTCTTTTGAAGAAATGTGACTGTTTCTGACAGAGGGTACTTGCCTTACCAGTTTCCTCACATCCTGGCCTCCGTCACCTTATTCCAGACCTGATATTTGGGGGGCGCTTCTCCCTGGAGCCTTTCTTTGGAGGCCCATCTCTTCCTAGAAAATTCTCAACCTTGTTCCTGCTGCCCTTACCCTCTGCCCCACCACTTATGGACTCACATCTTTCCCACCTCTGGGGAGTGGCCACCAACTCAGTTTATGACATTTCCACTGCCCTGGCGTGGCCTAGCATCCCATGGATTTGGTTCAAAGAGGAAGTGGGAATCGCTTTAAAGATACTGGACGGTTTGGCTTAAAAGTCTCCCTCATTTTGATGAACAAATTAGGTCCAGAGGACGGATGCATAGAACAGAATGACATCTCAGAGATGAGAGGAGCGGAGAGGGTGGGAAGAGACTAACCAAAGAANGATCTCAGAGATGAGAGGGGCGGAGAGGGTGGGAAGAGACTAACCAAAGAACACACATGCATATATGCACAGCCCATGGACANTCTCAGAGATGAGAGGAGCGGAGAGGGTGGGAAGAGACTAACCAAAGAACACACATGCATATATGCACAGCCCATGGACACAGACAATAGCGCGGGGAAGGCCCGGGTGGAGGGGGGCAGAGGGGGGAAATGGGGAACATCTGGAATACTGTCAACAATAAAACTGTTAGAAGTCTCCTTCACTGAGAGTATGTTAACAACATTGCCCAAAATAAGGGGGCAGGACCATACGTGGAGCCCCTTGAACACACACACCACCACGCTGGAGGGAGAGAGAGGGCTTTTTAAAAAAATGCATCATGTTCAAATGGATTTAATCACCACAAAAGTTGTCCTAATACATACTCTGCAATTATAGAGAAGAAAAATGGGAGCTTTTGAGGACTTGTCAACTGGGAGCATGAGCGATCAGACAGATAGGGATACTGGCACAGTGGCGCAGTGACAGAAAGGACAGAATAACTTACGTGCACGAGTCAGGCCGTACACAGTGACTCGCCATCTCCGTCACAGCACCGCATCCCCACGCCACCATAACCGCCATGGCGGAGCACAGCACCGGTGTCGGGAGGAGAACGGACCTCTGAACGTCCTGTCTTACTGGCTTGTGGGGTTCAAGCACTACGCATGGGAAATGACACATTATTTGTGCTTCAAACTCTGTAGAACTCTAGCTTCACCCATAAATTAACTAGACTCTTCTCTGTGAAATAACGTTTTAAAAAGATTTTAATATGCATTATTTTCAAAACAGTCCTGTAAGATCAGCAGTCATGGCAAAGACTGCTACTTGTCCTCTAACATGAATTACTGTCCTCCTCAGTCATATAACCCCCAAATGTCAGGCTGTTAATGTTTCATTGANTTCTCTGTGAAATAACGTTTTAAAAAGATTTTAATATGCGTTATTTTCAAAACAGTCCTGTAAGATCAGCAGTCATGGCAAAGACTGCTACTTGTCCTCTAACATGAATTACTGTCCTCCTCAGTCATATAACCCCCAAATGTCAGGCTGTTAATGTTTCATTGATTTTTGTCATTCAAAGTTTATTAGAAAATGCATTCATATTTCCTTAGGCTTGAGCCTTCTATATTTATTCCCAGATGCATACTTACATTTTTCAAGCTGANTAAGCTGAATCATTTTTTCAAGCATATTATTAATCCTTTCAAAGTTTCCTGTCATCACAGACTTTCAGAACACCTAGCATCCTTGGAAAATTTAATCAAGATGCTATGTACTTCCTCTCACAGCTCANCAAGCTGAATCATTTTTTCAAAGTTTCCTGTCATCACAGACTTTCAGAACACCTAACATCCTTGGAAAATTTAATCAAGATGCTATGTACTTCCTCTCACAGCTCATTAAGATGTCAACATAGCCATGCTGCTTATCAGCCACTGTAGCAGATTCCTTTTATCTCATATTCTTCCCAAGGAAGGCTTTAGTCTACAGTCTAGTTTTATTGAGATTGGACTGAATTTTTTTTAATCCTCAGCTGAGGATATTTTTTCCATTGATTTCTTAGAGAGAGTGGGGGAGGGGTGGGGGAGAGAGAGAAACTTGAACATGAGAGACACACCAATTGGTTGCCTCCCACAAGCACCCCGACTGGGGTGGGAATCAAGCCTGCAACTAAGGCACATGCCCTTGACTGGGAATTGTCCTAGGGCCGATGTTCTAACCACTGGGCCAAACCGGCCAGGATGAGATTGGGCTAAATTTTTAAGTCTAACTGCATGACTACACAAAATAGTTATTAAAAACACATATATCCATTATCAACTTTATTCTCTTTAAAAAGCACTACAACGCTATAGAGGTAAAAATAAATTTGTATGGCAGGAGTCCCTTCCTTCCTCTAACCTCCGCTAAACCATTGTTTGCTGATAACACCAACATCTAAATTGCTTAATTTTTCTTGATCCCCATTAAATCTTAATTCTCTTTAAGTGCAGGAGAGAGTAATAGTTCTCATCTTCAGTTCTGTGTGCCACATAACTTTGTATTGTCATGAATTATCGAACCATCTGCCAAGTAAATTAATCTAAGGTCTACTGATTTTCCTAACAAATCATGAGTCCACTCTGCCACCACAAATATGCACTAATGGATTATATATTTCAATATGGACCACCAGCTTCCCAGCCAGTCACATACCTACATTGAGCTTAGAGAATTCATTTATAAAATACTTCCTATTACTCTTATAAAAACTGTAAGAGTGAAACTGTACTTAACAAAAAAAAAATCAGTAATTTTGGGAGGAAAAATATATAATCTAACTCAAGTTTATGAAGAAACAGAATGACCCTTGCACTTACCCACATGTCTGCCTGGTTCGCTCCCTTCAAGTCTCATTAAATGCATTTTTGACAGACAGGCCTTCCCTAGCAATCCTATTTTAACAAACACCGCCAACCCCCTCACTTCCTATCCTTGTGTCCTGCTTAATATTGATTCATGACCTTTAGCATCACAAGAACACATGTTTGTTTATTGTATGTCTCTCCACCAGTTTAATATAAACTCCCGGAGCACTGGGCGAAGGAGGGCATTCTTGAACACATTATTCCATTTCCAACATACCACACAATTGTAATCAATCTGTGATTTGAAGTAGGTTTTAATGAAATGGCGTTAGGCCTTAAAGGAGTAAACAAAAAATACAATGAAGAGGAAATGTCTCCCTTCTCTCATTCCCTACTTTTTGGTCTCTGCCTATAGGGAAGCCGGAATTCCCACTGAAATGCACCCATTCCACATATCTGGCTCCTCTCCAGCTTTCACCTTCAGCAAGGAAGAGTGACTAATCTAGTAAGTCAGAATTTGTATTAATTTGGCCACATTTGATTAGAGTGAAATCACTGAGTTAAGCCAGCCAGTTCTTGTCAGCTTGTCTGTTATGTAAGGGGACCTACCCGGTCTTGACTTCCTCAGGGCTACCAATAACTAACTGGCTGTGCTAAGCTGGTCAACAGGCCTCATTCGTGCTGCATGTTGGGTAAGGAGTCTAACAATCTGCTTTGCAAATCTTGTGAAGTCTCTAGGCAGCATGGGCAGATTCAGGGTGGAGTTTCAGGCCTAACCAATGTTCTCCAGTATAGCTTTCTCCTAAGAACCTTGAACTGAAGGTTTTAAGAAGCTTGTATAGATTTTTAAAATTTGTATCAATGTCCCATTTGGACAGTAATCATTTAGTATATACCCTACCTGTCAAAATGCCAGATGAGTTCTGAATGTCTAACTCAAGAGAGAAAAAAATATTTTTAAACATGTATTTATTGACTTCAGAGAGAGGAAGGGAGAGGGAGAGAGAGAGAAGCATCAATGATGAGAGAGTCACTGATGGGCTGCCTCTTGCACGCCCCCACTGGGGATCGAGCCCAGAACCCTGGCATGTGCCTTGACCGAGAATCGAACTACGATCTCCTGGATCACAAGTTGATGCTCAACCACTGGGCCACGCCAGCTGGGCAAGAAAAGTATTTTTTTAAACTATAAAAATAAGGAATAGTCCATTGGTGCTAAATAACTTATTTTAATAAATTTGTCTTTAACACAAGTATAAAACAAGATTCCTGCCATTTCAACTACTATAGTCAAACTCAAACTTCAAGACTAAGTCCACAAGTAGTAACATGTTAATTTTGAAAAGTTCTTAACTCTTTACAAGGGTATCAAATATAACAAACAACTCTTAAATACTTAATGCCTTCTGTCACAATATTAAAAATAAACTCCTTAGTATCCAAAAGCTATCAAAGGTCCCGTCCCACCCACCCCAAATTTTTTTTTAGCAAGTAAAAGTATTATCCCTGCTGGTGTTGGTATTTGTTTAAAATGTTTTAAAACAAAAAACTTTTAATCTGAATATGATTTGAGTACTCCTTAACCATCCAAAAATTCTGGATACACAGTAATTCTTTGCAGGTAGGCAGGTACACAGTGTAGACTGAAAAAATGTCAATCACAGAGCTTTAAAGTTATAACTGGACTTTATAAAATAAAGCAAGAAAATCTAAAAGGAACCAGGTTTAATGTCGTCATTCTTCACTCAAATGGACTACTGTATGAGATTTTAGCTTCTGTTTCTTCTTGGCTCGTTGGTTACTGCCAAAGGCCCAAGGACAATTCTCATTAGAGCTAAACATTTTCACATAAGGGTTAATTATTTTTAATTTAAAATAAAATGAATAATATTGACACATAGATTAAAATATAACATAAACATATGCAAACTAGTCAGAGACATTTCAACTAGAAAACTGAAAAGTTCCCATTAGAAGACACAATGGGAAAATTTTTAAATTGAAATACTTTTTGTTAAATCATTAAGATGATACTACCCATCAAAGTATTCAAACCAACTAAGATAAAAAAGAAGAACATGTGAAATGCTGAGAATAATAATCTCTCTCACAGTTAAAAACAAATGTGTTTTAAGGAGAGGAAAAAATATATAAGCTCCTCAAATGAAACTTACAAAGCAAAACACAGGATTAGTAATTTATTAAAAATTATAACCCTGATTTTCTTTTGAGAAGAAACAGTACAAACAAGGGCATGAAACAGACTTCAAGACTCATGCTAATACTTTGTTCTCAATGAAAAAAGCTAATAGAAAAAACTAATAAAATTTCAGGTATTTCCATTTAATGTGGACAAAATATACAATGTTTATATCTGAAATACAAACTAGAAATTTATTTCATTTGTAATATAAAGTGATTTAGGTCAAGTTTACTCTTCCCAGTGTTCAAAATTAAACAGGAATTTTAATTTTGTTTTCCATATCTAGAAATTATAATGGTAATGTGAAATAAAAGTTTAATTTTGCTGAACTAAATCTCAAAAAGATTTAAAAATATCTAAATAAAACAGAAAGGTTTAATTTTTATAATTTTACAGTGATAAAAAGTTTACTTTCTCTACCATTAAAAAATCTAGCCTGCTTTTATCAATATAAAACTATAAAATCACAATTTTTTATATAACTTAGAAAAACAGTTTCACATGATACACTCATAACACTTGAGAATTACAATCCAGAAAGAGATAGTCTCCCTGAAATAGAAAGTTCTTTCTTTTTGTCACCTCCATTCCTTATGTATAATCTTTATTTCACATTATTTACAATAGAAATATTTATCACAATCTGACAGGTAGATAAGAAATTTTTTTGCCTTCTAAAAGTCATCAAGTAAATTTACTCAGTCTTCTTAGTGTCTTTCTTTTTAACTTTATCTGAAGTAGCAGCTGTAGATTTTGAGGTCGATGATCTAGTACCTTTGACAGATGATTTCGCTTCACTTTTTTTTTCACATGGTGAGAAATGCTGCTGCCAGCCAAACAATATCCGACTAACTGTATCCTCAAAAGGAGCAAAAGGCACAGTAGGAATCTCTGTAGTCATCATGATTATCTGGGGGGAAAAAGTTCAATTTTGAATTTAAACACAAATGTTTATTTTCTCAAAACTAAAGGGAAAAGAAATAAAAAATGGAGAAAAAATTCAAAATGTGTTCTTTTTTTATTGAGGTATAATTGACATATAACACGATTTAGTTCCAGGTGTACAACATATGATTCCATATATGTATATATACTGTGGAATGACCACAATTAGTCTAGCTAATATCCATCATCATACACAGTTACAAAAAAATTTTTTTTTCTTGTGATGAGAATTTTTAAGATCTACTCTCTTAGAAACTTTCAAATGTGCAACATAGTATCATGAACTATAGTCACCTTACCCAATCAATGACTTACTTAATTTATAACTGGAGTACCTTTTGACCCCCCTTCACCTGTTTGGCCCATCACCACACCCTGCCTCTGGCAACACCAATCTCTCTTCTTTGAATTTGTTTTGCTTGTTTGTTTTTGAAGTTTTAGAGTCTATATATAAGTGAGATCATACTGAATTTGTCTTTCTCTGTCTGACTTATTTCACTTAGCATAATGTCCTCAAGGTCCATGCATGTTGTCACAAATGGCAAGATTTCATTCCTTTTTATGGCTGAATAATATTTCATTGTATACATATACACCATTTAGTCTTTACTCATTCATCGTTTGATGGGTTGTTGTCATATCTTGGCTATTGTAAATAACGCTGCAATGAATATGGGGTTGGCATATCTTTTTGACTTAGCACTTACGTTTTCTTCAGATAAATACCCAGAAGTAGAATGTAAATCATATAGTTCTATTTTTAATTTTCTGAGGGACCTCCACACTGTTATCCATAGTAGCTACATCAATTTACATTCCCACCAACAGTGAACAGGGTTCCCTTTCTCCATATCCTCACAAAAACTTGTTATTTCTTGTCTTTTTTATAATAGCAATTCTAACAGGTGTGAGGTGATATCTCATTGTGGTTGATTTGCAGTTCTCTGATAACTAGTGATGTTGAGCATCTTTTCATGTACCTGTAGGCCACCTGTCTTCTTTGTAAAAAAAAAAAAAAAACCTGTTCAGATTTTATTCTATTTTTAAATATATCTTTATTGATTTCAGAGAGAGGAAAGGAGAGGAAGAGAGAGAGATAGAAACATCAATGATGAGAGAGTCATTGATTGGCTGCAGCCCACAACCTGGGCATGTGCCCTGACCGGGAATCAAACCCCGATCTCCTGGATCCTAGGTCGATGCTCAACCACTGAGCCACGCCTGGCAGGGCTCTGTTCAGATTTTAAAAATTGGGTCATTTGGTTGTTTTGCTGGATTTTATGAATTCTTTATTTTTTTTGGATATTAACCCCATATCAAATATATGATATGCAAATATTTTCTCCCATTGAGTAAACTGTCTTTTCATTTTGTTGATGGCTTCCTTTGCTGTGTAGAAGTTTTAGTTTGATATAGTCCCATGTGTTTATTTTTGCTTTTGCTGCCTTTGCTTTTTGGTGTCAGATTAAAAAAAGTCACCATCAAGAAGCTTACTGCCTATGTTATCCTCTAGAAGTTTTATGGTTTCTGATCTTCACTCAAGTTTTTAATCCATTTTGAGTTGATTTTTGTGTAAGTTGTGAGATAGGGATCCAGTTTCATTTTTTTGTATGTGGCTGTCAGTTTTCCCAACACTATTTATTAAAAAGACTGTCCTTTTCCCATTATATATTTTTGGCTCCTTTGGTATAAATTAATTGACCATATGTGTGTGGGTTTATTTCTCGACTGTCAATTCTGTTCCACTGTTCTGTTTTTATGCCAATACCATACTGTTTTGATTACTACTCCTTTGTAACATAGTTTGAAGTCAGGGAGTGTCTTGCCTCCAGTTATGTTTTTCTTTCTCAAGACTGCTTGGCTATTTGGAGTCTTTTGTGGTTCCATAAAAATTTTTGGTTTTTTTATTCTATTTCGTAAAAATGTCATTGGAATTTTGTTAGGGATTGCATTGAATCTGTAGATTGCTTTCGGTAGTATGGACAGTCTACCGATATCAATTCTTATCCATGAAGATGGAATATTTTTCCATTTATTTCTGTCTTCAATTTTTTTCATTAATGTTTTCCGTATACAGGTTTTTCACTTCCTTGGTTAAAATTATTCCTAGGTGTTTCTATTCTTTTTACATAAATGGTATTATTTTCTTAATTTCTCTTTCCATAGTGATCCATGTATAGAAATGCATCAGATTTTTGTATATTGATTTTGCATCCTGCAACTTTACTGAATTGGTTTAATAGTTCTAACAGTTTTTTTTATGAAGTCTTGGGGGTTTTCTATATATAATATCATGTCATCTGCAAATAGGGGCAATTTTACTTCTTCCTTTCCAATATGGGTGCCTTTTCTTTTTCTTGCCTAATTGCTCTTGCTAGTACTTCCAATACTATGCTGAATAAAAGTGGAAAGAGTGGGCATCCTTGTCTTGTTCCTGATCTTACTGCTTTCAGCTTTTTACCTCTGATTATGATGTTAGCTGTGGGCATGTCATATATATATAGCCTTAATTATGTTGAGGTACATTTCCCTACACCAACTTTGTTGTGTTGAGAGTTTTTATCATAAATGAATGCTGAATTTTGTCAAATGCTTTTTCTCCATCTATTGAGATAATATGATTTTTTTTTCTCTTTTACTTTATTAATGGTGTATCAAAGTGATTGATTTGCTGCTCTTGAACCATCCTTACATCCCTTGCCATAAATCCCACTTTATAATGTTCTATAATCCTTTTAATGTATTATTGAATTCAGTTGGCTAATATTCTGTTGAGAATTTCTGCATTTGTGTTCATCGGGGATACTGGCCTGTAATTATTTTCTAGAGGTGACCTTGCTTCAGTATCAGGGTAATGCTGGCCTCATAATTATTTTCTAGAGGTGACCTTGTCTGTTTTGATATCATAAATTCATAAAATGAGTTTGGAAGTATTCCCTCCTCATATATTTTGGAAGATTTTTTCAGGAGAATTGGTATTAATTCTCCTTTGAATATTTGGTAGAATTCACCAGGTAAGCCACCTGGTCCTGGACTTTTGTTTGTTGGGAGGTTTTTGATTCCTGATTCAAAAATCACCTTACTAGTAATTAGTCTGTTCAGATTTTCTATTTCTTCATCATTCAATCTTGGAAGGTTGTATGTTTCTATAAATGTGTTCACTTCTTCTAGGTTGTCAAATTTGTTGGTGTATAAGTATTCATAGTAGTCTCTTATAATCCTTTGTATTTCTATGGTATCCATTGTAATGTCTCTTTCATTTCTGGTTTTACTTATTTGAGTCCTCTCTCTTTTTTTCTTGGTGAGTCGACTAAAGGTTTATTAATTTTATCTTTCAAAGAATCAGATCTTAGTTTCATTTATCTTTTCTACTGTCTTTTAGTCTGTTTCAATGATTTTTAACCGGTGTGCCACAAGAGGTACACTGATGTGCCACAACAATTTTTAAAACACGAAATAGCTGACTATTTTAGTCAGGGGCACTAACGTCTTTTCCCTTAAGATTGTCAAATAAAAAAATGACAACAGCCCTAGCCAGTTTGGCTCAGAGGTTAGAGTGTCAACCCGCAGGCTGAAGGGTCTGGATTCGATTCTGGCCAAGGGCATGTACCTCAGTTGCAGGCTCAATTCCTGGCCTCGGTCGGGGCAAGTGCAGGAGGCAACCATCAATGTGTTCTCTCACATCAATGTTTCACTCTCTTTCTCTGTCCCTTCCACTCTCTCTGAAAAGCAATGGAAAAAATATCCTCGAGTGAGGATTAAAAAAAAAAATGACAACAGCCAACACAACAATAGCTGTCTAGTGTGAATGAATCAAAATTATACTATTTTTGTCAGATTGACAAAAAATATATTTTTTGGTGTGCCACAGAATTTTAGTAATTAGTTTATGTGAGCCATGAAATAAAAAAGTTGAAAATCACTGGTCTATTTCATTTATTTCTGCTCTGATCTTTGTTGTTTCTTTCCTTCTATTAACTTTGAGCTTTATTTGTTGTTCTTTTTCTGTCTCCTTGAGTGGTAAAGTTAAATTGCTTGAGATTTTTTTGTTTCCTGACATATGCATTTATCACTATGAACTTTCCTCTTAAAACTGCTTTTGCTGTATACCCCGTAAGTTTTGTTATGTTGTATTTCCATGTTTGATTGTCCCAAAATATTTTTTGATTTCTATTTTGATTTCTTTGACCCATTGCTTATTTAGTAGCATACTGTTTAATCTCCACATATTTATGAATTTTTCAGTTTTCTTCTTGTAATGATCTCTAGTTTCATACCAGTGTGGTTGGAAAAGACACTTGATATGATTCAGTATTCTTAAATTTATCAAGAGTTGTTTTGTGACCTAACATATGATCTATTCATTTGAGGTCAATGTTTCCTTTTGATTTTCTGTCTAGATGATCTATCATCCATTGATGTGAGGCATTAAAATTCCCTACTATTATTGTAATGCTGTACATTTCTCCCTTAGGTCTGTTAATATTTGCTTTATATATTTAGGTGCTCCTAAGTTGGGTGCATAAACATTTGTAAATGTCATATTCTCTTGTTGACTGACCCCTTTATCATTATGTAGTGCCTTTCTTTGTCTCTCATCAGTCTTTGTTTTAAAGTCTATTTTGTCTACCCCAACTTTCTTTTGGTTTCCATTTCCATGGAATATCTTTTCCCATCCCTTTACTTTCAGTCTGTATGTGTCCTTACATCTGAAGTGAGTCTCTAGTAGGTAATATATAGGTGGGTCTCATTTTTTTTATCTATTCAGCCACTCTATGTCTTTTGATTGGATAATTTAGTCCATTTACATTTAAAGTAATTAATGATAGGTATGTGCTTATTGTCATTTTGTTAATTGTTTTCTGGCCATTTTGCAGTTCCTCTCTTTTCCTTTCTTCCTCTCTTGCTCTCTTCCTTTCTGGTTTGTTGACTTTCTTTACGGTATGCTAATATTCCTTTCACATT